CCTTGGTGACTTGGGTTTCTTGTCCTAGCACTGTGACCGGCACGCAAGCCCGGTGACCTCGGACAGGTGATTTCAGTTCCGTGGGCTACAGTTACTCCACCTGCCACGTGAGCTGGCCAGTCTCAGTAATCTCCAAGGGCCCACCCCGGTTTGATGTTTTTTTGGAGCAAGATTTATTTAAAATATCTGAAATCTATAGGTCCACCTATACAAGGCAGAACCATAGGAAATTGCCAATATTTTAAACCTACATAAATGGCAGTTTCACATGGTTGCCTTCACATTTCTAAAGTACACACCTACTGTGGGATTCGCCCTGGGAGAGGGATAGTCCGTATTCCAGACGAGGCCAGTTACAGGTTGTTCCGGGTGTCAGAAATGTAAACCTGTCTGCACGCTTTCACACGCCCGTCAGTGAACTTGGGGCGTCCACCTCGGAACTGACTTTTTCAGCCTGGCCGGGGGCCAGCACTTAGGACTCCATCCCCGAGGCCCTTTCCACTGTGGCTGAGTCTTATAAATAAGCGCCTCCTGACCCGCTGAGCCACAGAGCGTGCCCGTCAGGAGCTGAACAAATGCTGGGCAGTGCTGGCTCCACAGGTCGGGGATCGCTGCCACCCCCACCCCCAAACAGCCCAGAGACCCTGTGCATTGGGCACGGGAGGGATTCTGTTGCAGAGATTCTTGGATGGGCTTTGGGGGGCCCAGGAGTCCCCCGAAACTGGAGAGCTTTGTATGTGCATATGTACACTGTTCAGGGGGAAAATGAAATGAAATGGTTTTATTTTTCAAGGGATCTGTGAACCCTTCCCCCACTAGTAAGTTAAGAATCGCTGTTGTAGGGGCTTCCAGTTGAATTCCAGGGTACACGGGAGAGGAACGTTAGTTCTTTCACCAAACTTACCGAAACGGTCTGCGAAGGTCAAAGGTCAGTGAGGCCACCCCTGCCCTCCAGCAGCCCCAGCTGTCCTATGATTTGATTCCAAAGACTTGCTCTCTCCGTTGCACACGGAGGGGGTAATCCCCAGGTCACAGAGGGGTGTCCGGTGTCACATGGATGGGCACACACTCAATGAGCAACAAGCAAATAAACAGCCACAGCAGCTCACAGAAGCACAGAAAAGGGGCCCCAGCCCAGCCTTGGAAGTTGGGGAAGAGCTTGTGGGCGAAGTGTGCCCCGGCTTGGGTTTCTGAGATGACAGGAGAGTGCTGCCACTTGTGTGTGTGTCAGGGGACACTCAGATCCTTTGTCCTGCAGCAACTGTATCTCTTTCTTGCTTCTTGCATGTGCCCCGTAAACCCACAACCTGAGTATGTGCCCTGACTGGGAACTGAACCTGCCACCTTCTGGTGCACATGCGATGCTCCGACCAACTGAGCCACCCAGCCGGGGCTATTCACTTATATAAAATGGAATCATACTATGTACAGTGTTATGTCCCCCATTAAACTATCAGATTATCACGCATGCAAAAAACGCATATACAAAGTTTAAGGCGTCATTAAATGTGCGCTCAGTCACTCACCAGCCAGGTTAAGAGGGACACTATCGCACTCCTCCTTGCACACCCCTCCCCATCACATTTTTAACCTGTCCATCCACCTTGCCAGTGACTCTGCGCGGGAGGGAAGCATGGCCACTCTGTCCAACCTGACGCAGACCCTGGAAGATGCCTTCAGGAGGATTTTCATCACCTACATGGACACCTGGCGCAGGAACACAACCGCCGAGCAAGACGCCCTGCAAGCCAAGGTGGACGCAGAGAACTTCTACTACGTCATCCTGTACCTCATGGTGATGATCGGCATGTTCTCCTTCATCGTGGTGGCCATCCTGGTGAGCACCGTGAAGTCCAAGAGGCAGGAGCACTCCAACGACCCCTACCACCAGTACATCGTGGACGACTGGAAGCAGAAGTACAAGAACCAGATTCTGAATCTGGAAGAAGCCAGGGCCACCATCCATGAGAACCTGGGTGCAGCGGGGTTCAAACTGTCTCCTTGACCAGCGAGCAAGGCAGGGCGCCATCCTCAGATGCCCAAAGATGAGGCCACGCCCGTGCCGTGGAGCAAACCCAAGGTCACTGCTCAGGAGTGACGCCAAGCCTCTCGCTCTTGGTCCAGACTCTTCAGGCAGATCGTGTGGTTGACCCACTGGGGTGGTGACATTTCCATCTCAGTGACTTACGCCTGCCCATCGGCGCAGTCGTGTGTCCTGAAGACCCCTTTTACTTTCCGTGCAATGGGATTGTCACTTTAATCAATGTCCACAGTGGAGATACAGCCAGACTTGAAGGGGAGCCCCTGAAAGTGGCAGGGGGGACAGAAAGATGTATAATGCACAGGGTTTTCTTTCTCACGAAACGTGATTTTGCATGTGGCTAATTCAATTTACAAACAGGATGTATTATTACCCAGATGCTGGGGTTCAAAACCTGTCACTTGCTCCCTGGCTGACACAGGAGCAGTCGCCAGTGAGCTCGTGACCGCAGGGTCTGCCGTGAAGGTGAGCAGGGCCGCGGGTTAGCTGCGCCCATTTTTCCCGGCACTGAGCTTACTTGCAAGTCTGAAGAGGACCAGCATTTCACAGCGCAGCCAGCCCCCGCGGGGGAAGCGCGATCTTTAAGGACCACCCAGGGCAAAGATGTTTTTAAGTGAATCTGTAAAGTTCTGCAGAAAATTCACTTTTAAAAAATTCTTGTTATTGTGGGGAAAAAAAACAATAAAAGGCATGTCACTGCTCGGTAAACAACTTGCTTTCACACGACTTTATTTTCTTCTCTTTACAATTATGTTTGGAGAGAAAAGGCACTGAGCACGTCTGCACTGCGGGCACCTGCTGCGCCT